AAAATAATAATATATATATATATATATATATATATATATATATATATATATATTAATAATAACAAAAATAATGGGAAAAAACGCTTATATTGGAATGATAGTTCACCCTGTTTACGTCTGCGATTCACTGCACAGAGGGCAAGAGCACCACCTAAAAGCTCACATCGCATGGATGCGTCACATGTGACCTACTCTTGGTTTGCCGACTAGTGGAGAGCAGGTGTTTTGTTTGCCATCAGCCTGGTTAGGAGGGTTGGTTAGGAATGTTTGGGTTTAAATGTTTTGAATGTTCTTCTGCAGAGTTCAGAGATCACTTGTTGTCCAGTCGGAGAAGCTGCTCCTTACCATTGACTGTGAGAGATTTGAGCTGACCATCCTCCTCTACCTCCACTCTCTCTTGACCATTCTCTACAATACTGTAATGACACAAAAGTTAGCTTAGAGTGAGTTGACATTAACTGTACAATTATTACCATAGACAGTAGTAAAGACTTCGTCAATAAGCATCAGTTTATGAGCAATTTGCATAGATATGTATAGTGGGACAAAACAACTTTATGCAAAAATGGTATTGCGTAACATGCTTGAAGTTGTGAATCACTATTTAAACAGAGGCAATTACAGAATGTTCTTTGGTACCGTTTGGTGGTGATCCTCTTTCCATTGATGAATTTGGTGGATGTAGAGACAGAGCGGAAGTTACCCATCCCACCACCACCAAATGTGGAGGACAATGAGGTGAAGCCACCCCCACCCATTGGGCCAAACGAGGTGAAACCTACAGAAATGATGATGACGATGATGATGATGTTCAAATACACAAGTATACCAGTCATACCCAGAAGGACTTCTTGTAATTTTCACTAGCTACACACAGATTAACATACCTGTGTCAAACCCAGAAAAGGGGGAACCAAATGGAGAAAATCCAGGAAAGAATGAACCTGTCGTTCTGCTCCTGCTAACACCCCTGTGACGCTGCCCACCACCAAAGAAATCTTCAAAGGGGTCATCAGCTAAATCAAAAGAAATAAAGAGCTTAGTGAAAAACAATGGCATAGCTTTACGTGTAAGATGTTACAATAACAATTGAGCCATGTAACAACCTGAACCATTCACCAACAGCACAATATTGTATTACAGAACTAAAGAAACCATTTACAGCATCTAAATATGGACACCGTGAGGGGAAAAAAAAACACTTTTTTGAAATCTGCCATTAAAAACAGGACAAAAAGTGTAACACAAATAAATTTCTGACATTAACTGACAAACCTAGCTTACCACCACAAGCACTCACAAATCAAGGAACCAGCTTGACAATTTGCACACGCAATCATATTACAGACAACATTTTGATAAAACCCCAACACATCTCTGATAATTTCTTTATAACATTTGTGTGCCACCAAGCCCTCTATCGTTTACTTTTAGGCAAAACCTACACTCCCTTTCACCCTCCCATTTTTCCTCTGTAGTGTCTTCCTCTCTTCCCTCACCCACCCATTTCTCATCTCTGGATATGAATGCAACAACTGACACTATGCTCCACTTTAACTTCTTGTCTAGACAATATGTCCTCTCTCCTCCCGGCCAGCATGTGCTACCCCTTCTAACCCCTGGTTATCTTTCTCTGCTGAAGTCCATACTGCCAAATCTTTAGATTTCCACAACAAGATCAACAGTGCTTTGGACACCCGTAATCTGTTCAAATCATTCAATTCTCTACTCTGTCCCTCTCCACCACCTCTTTAACAGCTAATTATTTTGCCACATTCTTCTCAGACTAAAACCATCAGCAGTCAGTTCGCAGCTCCACACACACAGGAACTCAAACCAACCACATCCACTACTAAAACTACCCTTTCCTCCTTCTGTCCCCTCACTGAGGCAGAAGTATCAGAACTTCTCTCCAGCCATCCTACAACCTGGCCTCTAGACCCAATCCCCTCACACCTTCTCAAAGCAATCTCTCCTACACTCTTACCAGCACTCACACATAACATCAACACATCTCTTCTCACAGGCATTTTGCCCACTGCATTCAAGCAAGCTAGGGTAACCCCACTGTTTAAAAAAAATCTACATTAAACACTTCACTTGTAAATAGCTACAGACATGTCTCTATCCTTCCATTCATAGCGAAAACACTTGAACAAATTGTTTTCAACCAGGTATCATAATTTCTTCATAGAATAACCAGCTGGATGTTAACCGGTCAGGTTTTAGAAGTGGCCATTCAACTGAGACCGCATTACTGTCAGTCACTGAAGCCTTGCGGATTGCGAAAGCCGATTCCAAATCAGTTCTCATTCTGGTCGATATATCTGCCGCTTTTGACATTGTGAATCATCAGATCCTCCTGTCCACCCTCTCCTCACTAGGCATCTATCGCTCTCTCTCTCTACCTATCTCACAGGTAGGTCTTTCAGGGTGGCCTGGGGAGGGGAAGTATCCTAAGCACATCAACTGGTCACTGGGGTTCCTCAGGGATCAGTTCTTGGACCCCTCCCTCTTCTCCATATACACTACATCACTGGAATCCATCATACAGGCACATAATTTCTCCTACCACTGCTATGCTGATGACACACAGCTCTATCTCTCATTTCAACCAGATGATCCAACGGTAGCTGCAAGATCTCAGGCTGCCTGGCGGACATCTCAGCATGGATGAAAGAACATCACCTACAGCTCAACCTGGCAAAGATTGAGCTTCTCATCTTCCCTGCCTATCCGACTCTACAGCATGAGTTCACCATCCAGCTAGGTTCATCAACAATTACCCCATCAAGTTTGGTCAGAAATCTTGGTGTAATCTTTGATGACCAGCTGACTTTCAAAGACCACATTGCAAACACCACTCTATCTTGCAGGTTTACATTGCACAACATCAGAAAGATCAGGCCCTTCCTAACGAAGCATGCTGCACAACTTCTTGTCCAGGTCCTTGACATTTCTAGGCTGGACTACTGCAAAAGCTCTTCTGGCTGGACTTCCATCATGCACAATCAAACCTCTTCAAATGATTCAGAATGCAGCAGCACAACTGATCTTCAACTAACCCAAAAAGTGCCCACATCACACCTCTCTTTATCTCCCTGCACTGGCTACCGGTTGTAGCTCGCATCAAGTTCAAGACATTAATGCTTGCATATAGAACAGCCACAGGCTCAGCACCCTCCTACTTCCACACACTCTTACGTATCTACATCCCCTCCAGAAGCCGGCGATCTACAAATGAGTGACGCCCTTTCGTTCACCATTCCAGGCTGGTGTAATGATCTTCCCACCCCCATCCGGAATGCTGAATCCCTGAAAACGTTCAACCAACAGCTGAAAACTCATCTCTTTTGTTGCTAGCATTTGACTACATCCTAGAAAGAAAGAAAAAAAATTGCTTTCTCTTTCCTTAATCCACCCGGTCTAGTACTTGTACTAATCTGAACCATGTCTGAAACTTTGTATTACGAGCACTACCTGTGATGATGTCATAATTACAGCAGAAATACCATAGGAAACATCATAGCTAATATGGGAGGCCTTTGAATGTGGTGTTGGACAATAAGGGGCTTTTTGAGTCAAAAAGGTTGAAAACCACTGGCTTGGCTAAAAAAGGTCACCAGTTTGATCTATTTGCTTGTTTTAGACACAAAATACCATCTATTGACCAACTCTGGCCTTCTGCCACTCAGAGTGAGGAAACTGTTTCAAGAGAGCTAGATTACCATCTCATGAAAAAACAGATTGCCTATGCCCTTTTAAATAAAGGTAATTAATTACCATACCATGTATTACAACGAAGCTGAAACACACCTTATGATGCATTGTGACATAATTTGTCTAAAGAAAGTTGTGAATATACAGTGGCTGTCAAACAATTAAGTCTTAAGAGTAAATGCTTCTATCCGAAGTGACTTACAATACAGGTCTTATAAGGGGGAGAATCTCCCTGGAGCTACGTGCATTGCTCATGTCTCACTGGTCCTTTCATGCAGAGATCAAACCCACAAGTATTCGGTTTCGAGCTTTTATTAAATTTCCTTTTTTTTTTTCTTCTGTTAATGGAAATACTGGTTGATGGGGGCTGCAAAGGTCTATTTTTATTCATCCTCATAATTTTGGGAGCAGTGTTGCAATTTATGCCTGCTGAAACAAGTCTAGATCAATGCTTCTCCATTTTCAGGCACTCGGCACCTTCATATGAACTTTTCCCCATCTCCTTTAAGCAGTTTGATTTGGCAAACAGAACCACGCCTGATATCTTCATATGCACGCACACAAACACATACACAGTTATTCTAACCCACCCCCAACCTTGTCATGGCTACATAAACACAAATAAACCCCAATGATCTTCTACCATCAAGGATGGACCTCCTGAAACATTCCAATTTGAAACAATTCTCAGTACATTGACATATTTCTCACAGATAAACATATATATGCACACATACATGTTGAACACATACACTAATTTTCTCTCTCATAGCGGCCTAGAGCTATTAGCCATTCCCTTTCTCTTGCTGCTCTTTTATTCGGAAGCTATTTCTGAGAACATTCCTAGTGGATGATGCATGGTCTCTTCTCGTCCCACTTGCCTCGCCATATTTAGAGTGCCTGTATATTTTATACACATGCCGCTCAGCCATTTGCTCCCAGCAGTTAGAGTCAGTGGGCATGGGGTAGCACTTTAGTGTTTAACAGATGTCTAATATGTCTTATCTATGATCATTTCAACAACACTGAGTTTTCGGTTTAAGAACAGCTGATTTGAGTTTGTTCATCCAACTCAGAGTTAAGCACATGCACCATGACTATAAAAAGCCATGAGCAATGGTGCTCTGATATTATGAATCTGCAACAGCACCTGGAGAGAAAAAATAAAAAAAATTAAAAAAAAGAGAGATCCACATACTTTTCCCCAGTAAAACTGGAAGTGCTACTGCAAGCAATCAGAGACTGAGCATATATTTTTGAAAACAAAAATTAAAAATTAAAACAATACGTCTGCAGTGGTGAGAGAGTTGGCATGAAAATTGCTGCTTAAATCAATGCGTAAGTTTAATTTTTAAATCACTGTTATAATATCAGAGGAGAAAACTAGCAGAAGGGCAAGTTACTGAACCTAATGTTCATTTGACATATTAAAGGGGTCATACGATGTTGCTAAAAAAGAACATTATTGTGTGTATTTGGTGTAATGAAATGTGTTTATGCGGTTTAATGTTCAAAAAACATTATTTTCCACATACTGTACATTATTGTTTCTCTTCTATGCCCCACCTTTCTGAAACGCGTCGATTTTTACAAAGCTCATCGGTCTGAAGAGCAAGGTGTGCTCTGATTGGCCAGCTATCCAGTGCGTTGTGATTGGCCGAATACCTCAAGCGTGTGACGGAAATGTCACGCCCCTTACCATACTGTGATGCTGTGTCCCGGCGTGACAAGACAAAAACAATAAAAACTCATTATAAACTAGGCATTTGTTGCATCCAGTGGGGACATAATTACTGATTATAATGACTTATACGGTCTTTTTACATGTTGTGTTGCATCGCGCCACGTAAACACAAAACCATGTCTGCATTTGTGATCGGAGAAATGACAAACAACAAGCGCTACTCTACACTGCTCAAAACTCACGTTTGAATCATCAGTGGCAAATCCTTTAAAAAAAAAAAAAAAAAAAAAAAACTTAATTACACTCTGTGAGTCAGAACAGCCGGCATTGTAGTCTACTCTTCCAGGATCAGGAAACATTCCTCCATAAAATGCGCTGGACACATCTGAATATTTGGTTTGAACTGTTCTGGAACAGTGTTGTAAATACAACTTAACCACTGATTTCTAGTTTTGTCCTCTTTTGGAAGGCCAAACAAAGTATTTTCACAACGAAACACACAGTGTCTTCACGACATGGTGGTGGCGGTGGCAACAATACTACAGCGAGAATCAAAGTTACGCCTTCTTTCTTTGCGTGAACATTTGGGCGGTGTTATGCAAATCTTCCCACACAGTGATGTAGATATGTGGGGGTGTTTTTAAACGAGGCATTTTAGGAAGGAGTGGACAAGTCTTAACTTTTATAAAGAATATCTCTTTGGGTCTGAAAGTAACTTTGGGATTACTGAAGAAAACCTGCTCCCGACCAGGTTAAGTTCACAGAGTAAGTTACCATGGTATAAGTTACCTCTCTTTCAGAAACGGGCTTGACTTACCCCGCTTTCTAGGGTTTGAGATAACACCCGTTATGAAACAGAAAGCCCAGAGCTTCCCTCATTTCAGAGTTAACATACCCAGTTTCCACTAAACCTAATTTCCAAAATTGGCCTCACGCTCTGGTGTGAAATTATTGTATTTATGTGTACAGACATATAAAAGAAAACAGCCCTTTCAGTAATGTGAGAAAAATGTTCCATAATACACACCCAAGTTAAGAGCACATTTTGAGAGAGTATTTTTAGTGAACAATATAGTTATGGTAGATTAACAGAAAACTAATCATCAAATGAACCCAAGCTCCAATAATTTCATGCAAAACCTAATTACCTAATTATAACTCAAACCACATCATTACTGTCACAGGGACACTGTGAGAGATTAAATGACCTTCATTTCCTCTCTTTGGGAATTTTGTTCTAATTTTTAATACTGCTGTTTTCACTGACAAGAACCACTTTATTCTGAAATTATGCAGGTTAAACTTGGTTTTGCTATTAAATATTCTACACGTCCTCTTTTTCTATTCCATGTGTATTTTTGTTATTTATTCAATATAAATTACACATGCACCTACCAAAGAAATCTGCAAAAGGATCTCGGCCTCCAAAGAATTCCCTGAAGACATCGTCTGGATTTCGGAATGTGAATCCGCCCATGAAATCCTCGTCATAATGGCCTCCTTTTCCAACAAGTAATAGAGGAAAACCACATTTTCAAAAACAGGTAAATGTCAAAATATAACAAATCAGGAATAACTTTACTTACCTCTACGAGATAGGCCTTCTTTACCATATCTATCATACTGTCTCCGTTTGTTTTCTGTATGAAAGAATGCTGCTTTTAGTTTCACTCAAATCAGACACAGAATAATGTTTTATATTAATTACGCACTCCTCCCACCACACCTTCACCTAATATTTGTAGCTTTTAACAAACAAAAAAAAAAATTTAACGGACAACCTCATACTGAGAGGACAACATCTGAGCCAGTAAAGGGTGCTGTTCTGTGCCAAAACTATCGTTTATATAACATGCGTTAAGTTGATCGTTACTACTAAAACCACTCTAGGAGGGACAAACGTAACTGGCCATTTTTGAACAGAAATTTTGGCTTGTAAATCCACAGTGTGACTGATATTTGTGCCAAATGCCATCCTATTCTGAGGACAGGCACCATGCCTCAACAAGTTTAAAACATTCATGAAATCAAACATTTCAAGCTCATTCTGGGTACAGTTCTTTATGCTTTATGCCGTTTTTACCAGTATAAAGTGAATATCTCATGGGACATTCATTCCATAACAATTCTTTAATATAATAAGTTAGTGTTGTATTTTAAAATATATTAATTCTCAAAAATTACATGGAAATATATTTAAAAAATAAATAAAATCTAAATGGCAATACCATCTGACAGGACTTCATATGCCTCAGAGATCTCTTTGAACATTTTTTCAGCTTGTTCTTTGTTGTTTGGGTTTTTATCTGGATGCCACTTTAGTGCTTCTTTTCTGTACCTGTAAAACACACAAACCCAAACCCTTATTAAAACAAGACTACTTAAGGGTGAAAGGACAACATAAAAGAGGTTCATTAAATAAAATCCAGTTTATATAAGATGCACTTTAAACTAAAATCTGCAGACAGATAGATAGAGTATGAAATGCAGTTAAATATTAAAACCATTAAATATTTTTGGGATGAGAATCAATTTCTTTTATGAAATAGTGACCAGTTAAAAGACCCAAGGTATATGCTTTGACCATAAATGTGCAGACATATAAAATCACAATAAGCTTTGTGCTTTGTTACTATTGATATTAAATAAAGTCTTGTTTCAAATTCGGTCCATTTTATTACAATATTCAAACAGTAAATGCAGTTTTGGCGCCGTTTAATGTGGTGACACATTGCTACAGCGTCTCAGTTCAAGAGAAGCGGCTGATCGTCTCCTCTGCTTTAATAGCAGTTACAGCACGAAATAAACATGAATGAACATCCGAAGGCGTTAAAAGAAAGAGTACAACTTACCGAAATCCATATCCGTCTCATGTTATCGTTCAATCAGTGTTTCAATGTCAATATAACAGCTTGTAAACATACAGGTGCATCTCAATAAATTAGAATGTCATGGAAAAGTTCATTTATTGCAGTAATTCAACTCAAATTGTGAAACTCGTGTATTAAATAAATTCAATGTACACAGACTGAAGTAGTTTAAGTCTTTGGTTCTTTTAATTGTGATGATTTTGGCTCACATTTAACAAAAACCCACCAATTCACTATCTCAACAAATTAGAATACGGTGGCATGCCAATCAGCTAATCAACTCAAAACACCAATAAAAAAAAAACATTTTTAGTGAATTGTTGGCCTTCTGGAAAGTATGTTAATTTTCTCTACATGTACTCAATACTTGGTAGGGGCTCCTTTTGCTTTAATTACTGCCTCAATTCGGCGTGGCATGCAGGTGATCAGTTTGTGGCACTGCTGAGGTGGTATGGAAGCCCAGGTTTCTTTGACAGTGGCCTTCAGCTCATCT